ACAAATTCCAATGGATCATTTGTGCTACTGAATTGTGCTGCAATTTATAATCAGTCTGCGTGATTTTTTTACAGCAGCTGAGTATGTGATCAATATTATTATTATTACTATTATTTTAGGGTATTGGAAAAATTTCATCAATATCTGAAATTTGACTGGAATCTAGCAATATAGGTAGTCCTTGACTTATGACCACAATTGAATCCAAAATTTCTGTTGCTAAGTGAGACATTTGTTAAGTGGATTTTCTCCCATTTTTTACCTTTCTTGCCACAGTTGTTAAGTGAATCTGGCTTCCTCATTGACTTTGCTTGTCAGAAGGTTGTAAAAGGTGATCATGTGATCCTAAGACACTGCAGTTGTCATAACTATGAGTCAGTTGCCAAATGTCTAAATTTTGATCATTTGCTACAATGGTTGTAAATGTGAAAAATGGTCATGTCACTTTTTAAAGCAACATAGTAACTTTCAACGATCACTAAATGAACTGTTGTAAGTCGAGGACTACCTGTAATATTCTCTTACTCCTAATGTATTTGGTAGTTATCTATTTATCAGCAACCATTTGCTGCTTTTTCTACTGTTTTTCTTGCCTGTATGTTGCCTGTTCTTTACCATATTCATGGCACTACATTCTCCACTTAGTCCACCTACACCTGCTACTCTGACTTAATAAAAAAAATTCATTCAGTCAACATCCCCCACATATTTTCATAGATACTACTATGATGACTGGCTCACAAACAGGAGCAATACCACTGGACACTGATATAAAACAGGATAGGAATTGGCAATAAGGACAATAATTTCATGCTTGACATGGCTTTGGACTAACTTTAGGATGGGTGGACAACATTTTAAGTCAATAATGGGGAATACTCCTAGGAGTAATGAAAATACTCCTCAAATATTGCAAAATACACAGTTGGGGAGTATTTCCATTAAGTGGCACCAAAACGTCCCAAAGATGGTGCAGGCTATCAAAGTAAGTAAGCTCTCCAGAACTAACTTAGTGATTGATTGGCTGACTGATTGCTGCACCAGGCAAGACTCCATAAAGAAGAAAGGATGAGAAAGAATGAAGAAACCCTAATGTTTTTCATCAGCACCTATGAAATATATGTCGGGGGATGTTGACTGAATGCATTTTTTAATTAAGTCAGAGTAGCTGGTGTCATGTTTCACCTAGAAGCAAAGTAAACAGGATTCCCTGAATTTTAGGTGATTTCTTTCTGTTCCTGAATGGTTTGAGCATCAATTACAACCAACCATCATTACTTTTTGTGGGAGAAGAGCTGTGGTAGCAAAGAACCAGGAGTCTATTAGCACCTTTTTTCAACTAACACATTTGACTAAGAAGCTTTTGTGGAAAAAGTGCCATCAGCCTTCTGATTTGTTTTTTGTTTTTACCAACCACTAGCAAAGTATTCAGCTTACAAGTTTTATCTTGAGATCTACAAAACTCAAAGCTGTAAGATCCGCTTTTATTTTACACTGTTTTTTTTTTCCTTTCCCCATGCCTTAATTTTTTCAATAACCTCCCAAGTGAAGATTTGTGGAGAATTCAAACACTTGCAGGCTCTTTGGAGTTGCTCTAATTGAGCTCAAAATAGTAAGGGTACGAGTAGTCCTTGAGTTACAACCACAACTGAGCCCAAAATTGCCACTGTTGAGTAAGACAGTTGTTAAGTGAGTCGTATCCCATTTAACAACATATTTTGCCACAGTTGTTAGGTGAATAACCGCAGTTGTTTACCATGTTGGTAACACCATTGTTAAGTGAATCTGGTTTCCCCATTGACTTTGCTTGTCAGAGCATCGCGAAAGCAGATCACGTGAGCCCATGATGTGCAACTGTCATAAATATGAAATAGTTGCCAGGTATCTGAATTTTGATCAGATGACCATGGGGATGCTGCAACCGTTGTAAATGTGAAAACCAATCATGAGTCACTTTTTTCAGTGCTGTTATAACTTCAAATGGTCACTAAACAAATGGTTATAAATTGAGGATTATCTATATTATCAAATTGCAGACTTTGGATTTTTGGGAGGGGAGTGTATCAATACAATTATCTTGCTTTCCACCTAACTAATGTGGTGCATTGCGATATGCCTGGTAGGAAGAAGGGCGGCATATAAATTGAATACATTTGTAAATAAAACAAATGAATACATAAAATTATTGGTTTGACAGGACTCCTAGGAAGTGTTCTCTGATTCTATTGCTTTTGAATGCAGCTGAATGTGGACTTTTAGCACAGCTCTGAGATGGGTTCCCACACAGTTTAGACTTTGTCCCAAGAGACCTTGCAAGAGTACTGTGTATAGAACCAAATCTTCAAAAAGAGGAAACTTCCTGCAACTCACTCATTCTCTCTCTCTCTCTCTCTTCTCTCTCTCTCTCCCTCCCTCCCTCCCTCCTTTCTCATTCTTGTCAGCTCTTAGGCCGCCTCATCTAACCTCTGTCTGATTCCGCAGCATTTTATGGCAAGATGCCACATTCTCTGATCCCCTCTTTGTTTATGTCCTCAGTGAAGATTATATTTCTTTTCTGGGACGGAAGCAGTTTAAAGTTAGGGGATGAAAAAAGCATTGGCTGCTGTTGCTGCACTCGGCCACTGCTCCACACTGGAAAGTTTGACTTCCTACTCCATTAACACCAGATACTCTTTTCCTGATCCTGCCATTCATTCCGAAGCAGGAGAGCTCAACCCTAAACAAACACAGGCTTAACAGAGAAATTCTTCCTGGCATTTACACTTTCCATATTTATTATTTAGATCCTTTTATCCACTCACTATGAAGATGGACTAGTTCTGACTGATTTTTCTTTAATGTTAGATTAATTAACGCTACATAGTTAGGACTGCAGAAAAAAAACAATGGCTGCCAACCTACCTTCCATTGAGGACCTCTATACTGCACAAGCCAGAAAGAGGGCTATGAAAATATTTACAGACCCCTCGTATCCAGGACATACACTGTTTCAATTCCTCCCCTCAAGATTATGTTACAGGGCATTGCACACCAAAACAACTAGATACAGAGACATTTTTTTTCTCCCATGCTATCACTCTGCTAAACAACTAATTCCCACAACACTGACTTATGCCCTAGGATATTGAACCATGTAGTAAGGCTGTATTACAATTATCTTTCCCATCTTTCCTATTACTTATTCCTTTAGCATCTTATGTCTATCACATTGCTTTTATTGTATCTTATGATTGTCACTGAGTGGTCTGTATTATAATTTATGATGATTGCATTTTAGGGTTATGATCATGATTATCACTTGTTGCTTGTATATATCCTGAGAACTTTTGCGCCGGAGACAAATTCCTTGTGTGTCCAATCATGCCAATAAAGAAGATTCTATTACAGTGTTGGCGAACCTTTTTGGCATCGAGTGCCGAAATGGGAGCACACGCGCGGGGCAGCACCAGTAACCGGAAGAGCAGCTCCATGGCACGCACGAGCAGGAGCACCGGAAACCGGAAGAACAGTTCCCTGGCAGGCATGCATGCGCCAAGAAGCTGAGCTTCCAGTTTCCTGGTCTTCTGGTTCTGGCACACATGCGCATGCGAAGCCCAGCTGGCCGGCATGCATGCATGTGCTGGAAACCGGAAGCTCAGCTTCCCTGTGCACGCATGAACACCAGGGAGCTGCTCTTCCAGTTTCCGGTGCTGCCGCGCATGCAAAAACCAGCTGGCCAGCTCGCATGTGTGCTCTGGAACCCATAAAAGCAACAGGAGATGGCTGGCATGCCTGGAGAGGTGGCTCTGTGTGCCACTTCCGGCACGTGAGCCATAGGTTCGCCATCACAGTTCTATTCTATTCTATTCCATTCCATTCCATTACGCATTCTATTCTATTTCATTCCCATGCGTATTGTGGCATGCAACCCAACCACCCCCAGTGGCTAGTTTTTACTTCATGCAGTTTCAAACGTGGGCTAGCTAATGGCATGCAGAAAGTTCCTGGCATCACCATTACCTCTTGCTGGTCTGCTAGTGGAAGAACCACCTCTGATTTTGACAGTTTGTCCGTCTGCAACTCACTTAACTCTTCACAAAACTCAGAGGTTTGGCTTTCGATGGCTGTACTTGTGTAGCGCTGCTCCTTCAGTTGCTTGTCCTGGCAGAAAAAACCCTAAATGTTTTTATTTCCTCCATTTTCTTTTGAAGCATGAGAGTTGCTTTTTTAAAGTGGATTGTGCACCCAGTGCACTGAGAGAAAGAGAGAAAAATCAGCCTCCAATATATTCACCAAAAGTCACACTTTAAGCAAATCACGGAAAGGAAAGAAACAATACAGGTAATCCACGACTTATGAACCACATTTGCACCCAAAATTTATGCCATTAGGTGAGACAGTTATTAAGTCAGTTTTGCCCCATTTTACGATCTTTCTGGCCATTGCAGGTGAATCACTGCAGTTGTTAAGTCAGTAACACGGTTGTTAAGGAACTCTGTCTTCCTATTGACTTTGTTTGTCAGAAGGTCGTGAAACAAGACCCCGGGACATTGCAACCATCAAAAATATGAGTCAGTTTCCAGATCACATGACCATTATTTATTTATTTATTATTATTTATTAAATTTATATGCCGCCCAATCCTGAAGGACTCCGGGCGGCTTACAAAGAGGGAAAGAAAAAATAAAATAAAATAAAAAGGATAATTTAAAATTCACAACATGCATCCGTCCAACCGGGGATGGGCCTGAACAATAAGGTCAACAGCCCCAGGCCTGCCGGAACAGCCAGGTTTTAACAGCTTTCTTGAAGGCCATGAGAATGGGTAAGGTCCGGACCTCTGGGGGTAGCTGATTCCAAAGGGTTGGAGCAGCCACAGAGAAGACTCTCCTCCGGAGGCCCGCCAGCCAACACTGCCTGGCTGACGGCATCCGAAGGAGGCCCACCCTGTGGGATCTTACCGGCCGTTGGGAGGTATGTGGCAGTAGGCGGTCTCGCAGATACACTGGCCCTAAGCCATGTAGGGCTTTAAAGGTAATAACCAACACCTTGAATTGCGTTTGGAGACCAATTGGTGGCTAGTGCAGCTCGCGGAGGACAGGTGTAATGTGGGTGTACCTCGGTACACCCAATATCGCTTGCGCGGCTGCATTCTGGACCAGCTATAGTCTCCGAACACTTTTCAAAGGTAGCCCCATGTAGAGCGCGTTGCAGTAATCCAGCCTTGAGGTGACAAGGGCGTGAGTAACCGTTTGAAGTGCCCCCACGGTCCAAATAGGGCCGCAACTGATGCACCAGGCGAACCCGGGCAAAGGCCCCCCTGGTCACAGCCAACAGATGGTGTTCCAGTGTCAGCTGCGAATCCAGGAGGACCCCCAAATTGCAGTCCCTCTCTGAGGGGTGTAAATTTTCACCCCCCCAGGATTAAGGACGGACTGTCTAGGCTGTCCTTCAGGGGCAATATCCAAAGCCACTCAGTCTTATCGGGATTGAGCACAAGTTTGTTCATCCCCATCCAGATCCTGACAGCTTCCAGGCATCGGCTACACTGAGTTGGCATGGGGCAGATAGATACAGTTGTGTATCATCTGCATATTGATGGCACTTTATCCCATGCTGTCGTATGATTTCACCCAGCGGCTTCATGTATAATAGGTGGGGGACAAGACCGAACCCTGTGGCACCCCACATTTGAGGGGCCTAGGGGGTTGACCTTTGCCCCCGACCAACACCGACTGCGACCTGTCAGAGAGGTAAGAGGAGAACCACCATAAAATGGTGCCTCTCACTCCCACCTCCTCCAGACGTCACAGAAGGATACCATGGTCGATGGTATTGAAAGCTGCTGAGAGGTCAAGGAGCACCAGGATAGAGGAATACCCTCTATCCCTAGCCCGCCATGGTGATGCTGCAATGGTCATAAGTGTAAAAAACTATTGTAAGTCATGTATTTAGTGCTGTTGTAACTTCAAATGGTCACTAAATGAACTGTTGTAATTTGAAGACTACCTTTCTAAGGAAGATAGATTACATAATTTCTGATTTACTGATTGCATCCAGGACAGCTTGAAACAGATCTATGCTAATTTCTTCAGAGGAGCTTCTTAATTCTCACAGCGAGATGACTTTTGGTTCAGGCAATCCTCATTTAATGAACCTCACAGCGGGGGTGAAATCCTCCGTTTGGCCGAACCGGTAGAGACGATTGTCCTTGGTTCTGCGAACTGGTAGTTTAAAAAAAGCTTCTGAGGATCACGCGGCTCCTAGCTCATCCGCGTGATTGTTGGAAGCTCCCCCCACCCCTTTTTAAAGCATTTGTTCCTGCTGGTTCGGGCAAATAGGCAGGAAAAAAAATGCTTTAAAAAGTGTGTGGGGGAAATCTTCTGACAATTCTGTGGATTAGCTGTAAGCCGCGCAATCCTCAGAAGCGTTTTTCCCCTCACTTTTTAAAGCATTTTTTCCAGCCTATTCTCCCGAAGCAGCAGGAAAAAAAATCTTTAAAAAGTGAAAAAAAGTTGGCCACAGCCACCCAGTCATATGACCACCACCCCTGCCAAGCCATGCCCACAAAACCAGGGGGGTGGGAAATTTAGATTTCACCACTGCCTCATGGGGACTTGCAGCTCCATCACTGCTGAGGTCTACTTGTATAGGTTTGGTGGAAAATCAATACAAATTCCATCTCAAATTACTGTTTTCTTACCACAAGAAACATGAAGAGATATTCCCTGGCTTACAAGTTTCATCAAGAGGGTCATAAGTAGGGGTGAGATTCTACCGGTTCGGACTGGTTTGGGTGAACCGGTAGCTCCGATGATCAGCTGGCAGCAAACCGGTTCGCTTTGATGATCAGGTGCGCCTGCCTGCCCCTGTTCCTTATTGACCTGTATCTTCTCAACTGATTCAGGTGGCAGAGCAAATTGCCACGCCTCAGTTGTGTTACTCCCCAGCAATAATGCGGAAGGTAAGTTTTCTTAAAAGTGTGCATGCGCACGAAGGCGTGATCACCGAACCGGTTGTTAAACCGGCAGGATCCCACGACTGGTCATAAGGAGGTATTTTGAAGCAGAACTGACTTATTAAATAGTATCTTCATCCTTTCATAGTTCATTCCTCTTGCTTTGTGGGAAATGTTTGATTAATATGTTGCTCGTACTTTGAAAGTAGGGAAGTCACTACCTACTGTTCTGAATCACACCGTAGTTATTCCCCCCCCCCTTTTTTTTTTGCAAATCTGGCTTGATGGTAGAGTTTCCTCTCAGTAGGAAATGGAACAAAGAAACAAAAAGGTCTGATTCCAAACTGAACAGTAAAGATTAAAAATAATATATATCCGTGTAAGTGTTCTCAGTCTGTCTAGCTCCCATTAACCACCCCTATTGAAAAGCTGCTTTGATTTCACAGTAAATTAATTTAAAATTAAATACCAACTTCCTGCTGCAGAGGACATGGCGCTCCATGTATACTTTAATTTATAATAAATTTCATTTTTCATGCTTCTAGAAGTACCCTGTCGTTAAGAAAGTGCTCCATGTAATTATAGGCCATGATTTTAAATCAATTCTCTGCAGGCCAAAGGATCAATTTATAGCCAGGAGAGTAAATTTTTGGTCACCACCGGAAACAAACTACAATGTACAAAAGAAATAAACTGTATGCAATTCAGTATGAGAAATCTGTCGTGTCATTTTCCCTCCCCTGCACTTCTCCTTACTTCTTGGGCAGCTTGGAATTCTTTCCTGTTCAACCCAAATAACAATCATAATCCAAATAATTCCATTCATCAATTTTTTACATTAATTGGGTCAAATTTTATATCTACCAACAAAGAAATAACGGGAGACTAGTATAGATCTATTTCAAGCTATTTAGCTCTCGTCAGCTAGCCATACCCTTCTGGGATTCGAACCCAGGCTCGAATCCCAGAAGGATATGGCTAGCTGACGAGAGCTAAATAGCTTGAAATAGATCTATACTAGTCTCCCATTATTTCTTCGTTGGTAGATATAAAATCTAACACAAAAATGGTTTGTTGCAAAACTGCCTGCGAAGGATCCTGGATTGGAGTTGAAAGGCGAAAGCTGAAGCAGTCTGCTCCATCCATCCCATATTTGGGTAGACCAGGTTGCCCTGATAAAAAACCCACTTCATTAATTGGGTCATTACGTGAAATATTGTACAGGTAGTCCTTGACTTACAATTACAATTGAGCCCTAAATTTCCATTGCTAAGCAAGACAGTTGTTAAGTGAGTTTTCCTCTATTTTATGTCCTTTCTTGCCACATGTTAAGTGAATCACTGCAGTTCTTAAATTAGTAACACGGTTGTTAAGTGAATCTGGATTTCCAGTTGACTTCGCTTGTCAGAAAGTTGCAAAAGAGGATCAAATGGGACATGACCCCAGGACATAGTAACAGGCATAAGTATGAACCAATCATCAAGTGTCTGAATGTAAATCACCTGACCATGAGGAAGCTGCAATGGTCGTAAGTGTGAAAAAAGGTCGTAAGTCACTTTTTTCAGTGCTGTTGTAGCTTTGAACAGCTACAAGCTACCTGTCAAATGAAGCAGCCTGTCTTGAGGTTCCTTAAGACACATAAGAAGTTCAGTAAGAAACACCAAGATAAGCTGAAAAGTTTTGGTTGGGAGCAAAATGGTCTTGCTCAGAATCTGTTCTTCTGTTTTTTCTGACAGTTAATTTTAGACCCTGTCTGAAGTTACATCTTGAGTGGAGGAGGCAAAAGAGAGAGAGGGAGAATGCCTCCTCCTGCTAAAAAAAATAATTTAAAAAATTTCTACAAAATGAGGAATATCCTTGCACAGAAAGTGGAGGCCATGGAAAATAGAAAAGACAATTGCAAAACTTTGACCCATGGAAATTGAAATAATTAATTTACAATTGAAGTCTCCCTTGAGTTTAATTCAGCATCTGGATATTTTACACAGTACAGTACTTGACAGGGAATGTCTCACACAAACTGCTTCACCCTCTTGCAGAAAGAAAAGATAACTAATCAATAAATTAGCACTTTCTCCATTTGAAATGATGGAGCAGAACCTTAATCATGCTGGTTTAAATACAAATGCATGCCTCTTTGCACCCCTGCACCTTATTTTTCCATGTTTAATCAGAAAATACAGGTAGTGCTCGACTTACAACTACAATTGACCCTCAAATTTCTGTTCTTAAATGAAACATTTTTAAAGTGAGTTTTGCCCCATTTTATGACATTTCTTGCCACAGTTGCTAAATGAATCACTGCAGCTGTTAGGTTAGTAACATGGTTGTTAAGTGAATCTGACTTTCCCATCGAGTTTGCCTGTCAGAAGTTTGCAAAAGATGATCACATGACTCTTGGACATTGTGACCGTCATAAATATGAGCCAGTTGCCAAGTCTGAATTCTGATCACATGACCAAGGGGATGCTGCCAAGGTTGTAACTATGAAAAAATATTGTAAGTCACTTTTTTTTCAGTGCTGTTGTAACTTTGAATGGTCACTAAATCAACTGTTGTAAGTCGAGGACTCCCTGTAAAGGAAACCACCAGCTTAGTAATTTCAGGGGCATGATCATAATGCGCTGGAACTCCAAAAAGGGAAATCAAGAAGAACATGCTCCACCTCTGCATTAGCATACTACGTGAAGAATTCTTTTCAGATAAGATTACAGGTAGTCCTCAATTTACAACAATTTGTTTAGTGAGAATTCAAAGCTACAACACCATTGAGAAAAGTGACTTAAGACCATTTTCACCCTTATGTCCATTGCAGCATCCTGATGGTCACGTGATGTACATTCAGATGCTTGACAACTGGTTCATATTTATGATGGTTGCAGTGTCCTTGGGTTACGTGATCCCCTTTTGCGACCTTCTGACAAGCAAATGGGAAAGCCAGAACCAGTTAATAACAACTCACCACCTTAAGAACTGCAGCAATTCACTTCTGGCAAGAAAAGTCGTAAGTTGGAGCAAAACTCACTTAACAAACTTCTCACTTAGCAATATAAATTCTGGGCTCAATTGTGGTAAGTCGGGGACTATCTACAGAAACATAATTCAGAAATAGGATGGCACAGGATATTCTTATTTTCTTAATTTTGGTAACATCCTTCAGTTCATGCAATTTAATTCCCTATATGACTGTTGAGGACAAAGCTAAAGCCAAGGAAATCTCTCCCTCCCCGCACCTCTCTCTGTGTTGTCTGTGTGTTTGTGTGTGTGTTAAAATTACTTTCCTCTCAATGCTAAACAATTACTTATTTTTGCTGCAAAATAGCAGTTATTGATAATACAGAACTCCAGTGTGGGAGGCTTATGTAATCTGCCTGTAAGTGTTTGATGCCAAGTGCTGTGTTGCCAAGGCAGTATTCATTATAACAATATTTATTGAATCAATGTTTCCCCTAATTTAAAAAATACAAATCATGATGTGAGACAAACAATTAGGCAGATACATAAAGAAAATGGGGTTGGAAGGGAGTAGCTATTTGTCCGGTGCTTTAAGATACAGGAACTTAAATGAACACTCCTATAAACTGACATAAATGATTAACGAAAATATTCAGAAGAAAGTCCTACTGAGTTCAATGGATTTTCCCTCCAAAATTAGTAGCTTAAACTAGGCCATAATGAGCTATTTTTTCCTACAACACCCAAGCTGCAATTGAACAGCACTATCCTTGCAAAGAGAAAGCTAGTACCTCAGGGAATGGTTTGCAGCTTAGAAACATTCTTCAACATGTGCAGATAGTCCTCGACTTATGACCACAATTGAGCCCAAAATTTCCATTGCTAAGTGAGAAAGTTGTTAAATGAATTTCGCCCCTTTTTATGATCTTTCTTGCCATAGTTTTTATTTGCCATTGTTAAGTTAGTAACATGGTTGTTAAGTAAATCTGGGTTCTCCATTGACTTTGTTAGAAGGACACAAAAGGAATCACCTCACCCAGGGACACTGCAACTGTCATAAATATGAGACGATTGCCAAGCGTCCATGGGAATGCTGCAGCGGTCGTAAGTATAAAAAACTTACATAAGCCATATTTTTTTTCAGTATCTTTGTAATTTTTCACAGTTAATAAATGAACTGTTGTAAGACGAGGACTACTCTGTATTCAGGGAACTATTAAAAAAAAACAAGAATAGCATCCCGTTAGATGAGATCACATTTCTGAAATGGTGGAGCCAAAACATATTCATTATTTCAGCTACAATCCAGCGTGTGACGCTTCAGCCAAGATTTAACATTCAGCTATTTAAGGAACCATTATGCAGTCCTTCTAGGATTATAAGAAAGTTCACAATTCAATATTGTTCTCTTCATCAAGACCAGTTCCCTGATATACAGGTAGTCCTTGACTTTCGACAATTTGTTTAGTGATCCTTCAAAATTACATCACTGAAAAACCTGACATGACCTTTTTTTCACACTTACAACTGTTGCAGTATCCCCCATGGTCACGTGATCAAAATTCGGATACTTATCAACTGGTCCATATTTATGACGGTTGCAGTGTCCTGAGGTCACATGTTCAACACCTTTTGTCAACTTCTGACAAGCAAAATCAATGGGGAAGCCAGATGAGCTTAACAACTGGGTTATTAGCAATAGCAATAGCACTTAGACTTACATAGCTCTTCACAGTGCTTTACCGCCCTCTCTAAGCAGTTTACAAAGTCAGCCTATTGGGTTGACCCAAAAATCTGGGTTCTCATTTTACTGACCTTGGAAGGATGAAAGGCTGAGTCAACCTTGAGCTTGGTGAGATTTGAGCTGCCAAATTGCAGGCAGCCAGCAGGCAGCAGAAGTAGCCTGCAGTGCTGCACTCTAACCATTGCGCCACCGAGGCTACTAACTTAACAACTGCAATGATTCACTTAAAAATTGTGGCAAGAAAGGTAATAAAATGGGACAAATTCACTCAACAAATATCTCAATGGAAAATTTGGGCTCAATTGTCATAAGTCAATGATTACCTGCATATCACTACCTAGGTTAATATGGATGATTAAGATATTATTTGTTTAATCAGTTATAAAAATATAATAGTAAGATCAGATAGGCCATTAAGCCCACAATAATGGTTTCCAAACTACAAGTTTGAATTCGCAAGCTTGCTAGACCCAAATCAAACCAATTGCATTACCTTTTCCCCAATTCTGGCCAATGATTTCTGCCTCTTCCAACGTTCATTAAAGGACTGGAGGTTGAGTTGCAGAGTAGCACAGTGCAGATTGATGCCCACTAGCACTTTCTTAATTTAGCTAAATTCAGTTTACAATTAAATTATAATCTACAGCAGATGGCAAGGTAGGCTTGTTTTATCTGGTTGGGGAAGGAAAAGAAGGCAATGCAAGTGTTATTGCACAGAAAGAAAATGAGAGGAGGACATACAGACAGTCCTCGATTTAAAACTGCTCATTTAGCGGCCATCCAAAGTTTTAACACCACTAAAAAAAAGTGACTTATGGCCTCTTTACCCACCATCACAGCGTCCCCATGGTCACATGTTCAAAATTCAGATACTTGGTCCTCACCCTTACG